CTGTGTTTTTATGAACAACGATTGATTGTCTACATTAAAACAGTTTCCTGTGTTTGAATCCTGCAGGTAGTTCATCTGTTTTCTTCACAGTTGATGAACATTTTTTAAAGGATTTTTCTGCCACATTCTCACCGTTTTTATACAGTAACGCTCTGACAGAACATCTGCTGCTCATAAACAAAAATGGCTCTAATGAGTATTTTCTTGAACTTTATGTCAGTTTTTTCCGTTTTACCGGCGTCATGGCGGCCATATTGCTGGTTACCATAGCAACAGCACACCGCTCCTGTCTGGTGAATCCTTTGGACTCAAACTCATCCCTTTAGGACTGAAAACAGTGACAGAGCAGAATGTTTGGTTCCTAGCGTCGGCCTTCTTCATTATTAAAGCTGCTCAACGATGAAATGTTGACGGAACTGAAGTCTCATTTCATAAACAGACTCGGTCCTTCTGACTGGACCTCTACCTTCCTGAGCCGTGTACTCCGACTCGATGATCCTGGCGAGGCCGAAGTCGGCGATCTTGCAGTGCAGCGTGTCGCTGACCAGGATGTTGGCCGCGCGCAGGTCTCGGTGGATGTAGTTCTTCTTCTCGATGTAGGCCATTCCCTCGGCCACCTGTCAGAGAGCAGACGGGCTCAGGACCAACATCTAGCCTTCTGGATCAGAACCCAGACACAAGAACCTTATAATGATCACATTCGCTTTATCTGCACAGAACCTTTGGAGAGCAAAACGGTTCACAAGAGAACAAATAACATTTATTTTAAAGATCAGTCTGATCTGCTGTTTATCTATGAAGCTCTGATGTCCGAGGTTCAGTGAACGCAGCACCAGTGTTTCCTCTGAGTTCGTTAAAATCTGCAGCATCCAATCAGAGCTGGTGAATTAGCTCTAATGATGGCTGACATGCAGAAGATCAGGATCCTCTCAGTTAATCAGCCGGATGCTGTTTGTGTCACAGAACGAAGCTCTGATCTAAAAATAAACCCAAATATGGTAACAGGAAGTTGAGCAGCTCGTTATTTATTGACTCATTTCTTTGTTCAGATCAGCTGTTTAAGTTGCACCCATTTAATATTCTGTGGGATTTAAACTCAAACGTCTGCATTAATTGACTGAAAGTTGAGGTAACTCTAGTAATTAGATGAGGTGAGCGTGGAGGCAGTCTGTCACTGTGAGTTCTTCTCACAGATGACTTTGGTTTCGGTGTTCAACTCAGGAATCAACAGGACGTTTGGGCTCCTCCACCTCAGCAGCTTCTCCTGGATCGTTGTGAAGCTGCACCAGTCTGGGCAGATCAGCACCAGTTCCTGGTCTAGAACCACACCTCTGACGTCCTGAAGCTTTCAGCGCTCAGACGCTCAGCGTGCTGATGGAAACGCTGCAGCTTCCTGTCCGGATGTTAATGATCGACGCGGAGGAGCTGCTCAAGACCACAAACCACAGCAGCTGCTGGCAGTTTCCATGAAGAGAAGCACTCTGCTGCTGTAGTACTACTACTGCAGTACTACTACCAGCTACTGTCGTACTACTACTGTAGTAGTACTGCTACTGCAGCACTACCACTGTAGTACTACTACCAGCTACTGTCGTACTACTACTGTAGTAGTACTACTACTGCAGCACTACCACTGTAGTACTACTACCAGCTACTGTCGTACTACTACTGTAGTAGTACTACTACTGCAGTACTGTTCTATGCTACATGTATCAGTGAACAGAGTCACAGCAGTTCATGCCTCTCTGGCTGTTTTCTATTGACATGTATTTATATTGTTGTTTACCACCAGCCTCCAGATCACTGTTTAAATACTCGCTGTACTCATGATGAGTCCTGCTGTGTACTTCAGTACCACTCGTTGCTCAACATCTGGTGCGTCTCCTGCGTCTGCTCCTGCTGCTAGTTCTGCTCCTACATGTCCTCACCTGAGCCGACATGTCGATCAGCTTGTTCAGCTTCAACTTCTTTCCTTCGTCTGTTTTCAGAAAGTCCAGCAGACATCCTGCCGTGGGAGAACAGATGAGTTAGAGATGTTCAGCTGAAGTCCACTAGCGTTCACGTGAAGCTGCAGCTCCTGATGCATCGTTCACATATAAGTACATGATACATGTCTGGTCCTGCACTGATCAGGCAGCTCGTGGTTCTGGGAGGATTCAACACACAGTGATACGGATCTTCATGACAACAAATATGTAAATAATAAATATGCCAAACAGGAGGGGACAGCAGACGGACCAGAACACAGCTGCTGTATGTTCTGCTGTTTGTGGTGAACACACACTGCTCCAAACGACTGGTAGGAATGTCACTACTTCTTCACTGATGTGTGGATTCTGAATCCATTTATGAGGCTTTAAAAGGTAAAAATAGATGTTTAAAGCAGAAGTGGTCCATTTTTAACTCCCAGGAGGCGGTTCTGATGTTATCTATATTATTAATACCCTGAGGTTCCTCTGGTTCCTTCATACAGTCGGTCAGAAAACTCTTCCATCCAAATCTCTTTGCTATTTGATCAGTTCAAATATATATAGAAATGGCAAAGAGATTAAAAAGTAAAGAATATAAAGAAAATTTAAAAAAATAATATACATATATATATATATTTGAAAATAACTATAATAAAATAATACATTTAAAAATGAAATAAATAAAATGCTCCTGTGGTAATATTAGTCAAAGGCCTTCAGGTCTTCAGAGGTTAAAGAGGTCACCATGTGGGTCTACACAGCTGGAACATTAGTTCTGTTCCTGTGTGACGGCCCCCACCACAGAAATGGAAAATTAAAACACTGACTCACTTTTATATTAAAGCTGAGATAAATATTCACTTCTGAGGTGATACAAAACACAGAAAAGCAGATAAAGTTTCCGACTGATCTGATTGTGAGTGGATCTGTTCTGACTCACCAGATGTCAAGTCTAAACGGCTACAAAACGGTTTAAACATATGCGGCTTTATTACGATAAATGATAAACAACTTTATGTTTTCAAAACCCTGAACAACAACAACAACAACCTGTAAAACATTCTCCCTGTTTTGTTGTAAATTCCAGATAATATCTAATAAAATCACAGAAGAAAACAATAATTTACACATCAGGACGAACATGAATAACAGACGTGTAAATAATGTTCACATTAAACATTTACAGTCATTCATTTACAGCCACAAAACTACACTGTTTTTTAACTGTATTTATCTCTGTGTCTTTGTATCTCTGTATCTTGTATCTCTGTGTCTTTGTATCTCTGTGTCTTTGTATCTCTGTATCTTTGTATCTCTGTATCTGTGCGTCTCTTACCATTGACCATGAACTCGGTGACGATGAGGATGGGCTCCTTGGTGACGACGGCGTGAAGCCGTACGAGGCGCTGGTGCTGCAGCTGCTTCATGAGGTTGGCCTCCTGCAGGAAGGCCTCGGGCTCCATGGTTCCCTCCTTCAGGGTCTTTATGGCCACTTTCTGGTTGTTCTTGTAGTAACCTGCAGCAGGGACCAGATGTGAGGCGCTCCGACGTCTGGGCTCAGAGAACGTCTGCGGTCACCGGTAGAACTTACCCATCCAGACCTCCCCAAACTGACCAGCTCCAAGCTTCTTCACCATCTTCAGCGTCTCTCTGGGGATCTCCCACTCGTCGTGAGCCCACGGCTGCTGAGGAGCTTTGGGTTTGCAGGGAGCGTAGAGCCGCTGGCACAGACCGTCCGAATCCCCTGGAGAACATGGAGAACACGGAGAACACGGTGAACACGGAGAACATGGAGAACATGGAGAACATGGAGAACATGGAGAACATGGTGAACACGGTGAACATGGAGAACACGGAGAACATGGAGAACACGGTGAACATGGAGAACATGGAGAACATGGAGAACACGGAGAACATGGAGAAC